TTTGTGATAGTGAGAAACTTACAGTGACCAGGAAGAAAGCACATAAAGAATTCACAATTGCAAAAATATGGAGCTGGGGCCTGGGCACAGTAGCTCATGTCTGTAATCCTAATACTTTGGGAGGCTGAGATGGGCAGGTTTCTTGAGCTCAGGAGTTTGAGACCAGCCTGGGCAACATAGTGAGATCCTATTTCTGAAAAAAAAAAAAAAAGAAAGAAAGAAAGAAAATGTGGTATATATCCACCATAGATTACTACTCAGCCATAAAACGGAACGAAATAATGGCCTTTGCATCAACTTGGATGGAGCTGGAGACCATTATTCTAAGTGAGATAACACAGGATGGAAAACCAAACCGTATGTTCTCACTTGTAAGTGAGAGCTAAGCTATGGGGACGCAAAGGCATAGGAATGATAGAAGGGACTTGGGGACTTGCAGGAAAGGCTGGGAAGGGGGTGAGGGATGAAAGACCATACATTGGGTACAGTGTACATTGCTCAGGTGGCAGGTGCAGCAAAATCTCAGAAATCACCACTAAAGAATTCATCCATGTAACCAAAAACTACCTGTACCCCAAAAACTATTAAAATATATATTTTTTGAAAGAAAACAAAATATTGGTGAGTAAAACAAGGTCATCTTTGTATTCAAATACAACGATGAAGAAGAAAGCTCATAAAGCAGGCTGGTGGCTGCGAGGCACACAGGTGGCAGGTGTTGGGGGGAGGACCCTGAGGACACAGTTTCTCCTGGACTTCCGGAGAGCCGCACATCCCTCCCTGGGAGACATTGTGGGCCTTTCTATGTGTCCCCTCACCTCTCTATCTTCTCTGGCTGTCTGGCCCTGAGCTGCCGTTCGTGTGAGAGAGGACTCGACATTCAGGGCCAGGAGGACACTGGGGCAGGGGACTGGCAGGCTGAGAGTGCTGGGGCTACACAGGAAGCTGTCAGCTCAGAGCCAAGGCTGTGGACCAGGCTGCTTCTCAGAACTAAAGGCTCACAACCAACTACTGGCTAGACAAGGCTGGGAAATCACATTACAGAGTGCTGCTGTGACTCTGCGTGGACAGGAAGCCGAACTCACAGCCAAGAGACCAGGACATCGGGCAGCAAATCTAGGAAGGGTCTGGGCAGCAACTGCGGGACCCTAGCCACAAGAAAAGACTTTGACAGGGGACCAAAGACTGGCTGAAGAGGGAATGCCTAAATTTTGTTTGCCAAGTGCAGGCCTCAAGGCCTGGGTTGACAGGTAGAGGGAAGCACTAAATGGCCTGGGGTGTGACAGACTGTGTGCAAGGCAGTTCCTTAGAGCAGGCGCAGAACTCACGACATTGCAACTACCTGTGGACTGACTGCAAACAGCAGCTTGTGCTCGTGGGGAAAAGAACGGTTCAAGGCTCTTCTGTGCCACTTACTAGCTCGGGAGAGTTACTTAGCCTCTGTAAGTCTCAGTTTTCTCATCTTTAAAATAGGGATAATGACACCTACCTCATCTGGTAGTGGTGAACGTGTGAACTCAGTGATGTAAGGGATGTTAAAACGCTTCAGCACTTGGCCTGGCCCTGTTGAAAGTGCTCCACAAAAGCTAGACATGATTACTAATTTAACATTCATTGAGACCAGCCTGGCCAACATGATGAAACCCCATCTCTACTAAAAAATATTAAAATTAGGCCGGGCACAGCGGCTCATGCCTGTAATCCCAGCACTTTGGGAGGCCAAGGCAGGTGGATTACGAGGTCAGGAGTTCGAGACCAGCCTGGCCAACATGGTGAAACCCTGTCTCTACTAAAAAAACAAAAAATTAGCCAGGCGTGGTGGTGCACGCCTGTAATCCTAGCTACTCAGGAGGCTGAGGCAGGAGAGTCGCTTGAACCCAGTAGGCAGAGGTTGCAGTGAGCTGAGATTGTGCCTCTGTGCTCCAGCCTAGGGGACGGAACGAAACTCTGTTCTGTCAAAAACAACAACAAAAAGTTTATTGAGTGTAGGCTGGGCACAGTGGGTCATGCCTGCAATCCCAGCACTTTGAGATGCCGAGGTGGGTGGATCACCTGAGGTCAGGAGTTTGAGAACAGCCTGGCCAACATGGTGAAAACCCGTCTCTACTAAAAACACAAAAATTAGCCAGGTGCCTTGGCATGCACCTGTAATCCCAGCTACTCAGGAGGCTGAGGCAGGAGAATCGCTTAAACCTGGGAGGCGCAGGTTGCAGTGAGCCAAGCTTGCGCCATTGCACTCCAGCCTGGGAGACAGAGGGAGACTCCATCTCAAAAATAAATAAATAAATAAAGTTTATTGAGTGCTTATTATATGCCAGGTCTTATACTTTGTATAGAAGGTACAAAGATGAAAAGGTGCTTTCAGCAGGTCAAGGCTTCCAGGGGTGGGCAGAGGCTCCTACTTCCAATGAGCGATCACAGGTCAGTATGCTCATTAGCAGTGGAGGCAGGTGCAGAATGCAGAAGGGGGAGGTGGGGAAAACAGCATTCAAATTTGCCTTGAAAAATCAGGGAAGGCCTCCAGGAGGAGACAAGACAGGAGTTGAGCCTAGAAAGCTGAATAGGAGGTTTTCTGGTAGACAAGTGGAGAAAGAGCAGTGTGGGTAGAAGCAGGAGCAAGTGCAAAGACTCAAGAAAAAAACTGAGTCACAAGAAAGCCTGCTGTGTTCTGGGAGTTCAAACAGTGAGCTGCAGTGCTGCTGTGGCTTAAAGAGGAGAGCTTGGGAGGAGAAATGAGGCTGGGCTGACAGATGGGACCAGAGCATAAAGGATTGTTTTATACTATGTTAAATAATTCAGATTTTACCCTGAGTGATGAGAAGCCACTAAAGAATTTTAAGTAAGGGAGTGATGGACAAGTTTGTTTCATAAAAAGACCGCTCTTGCTGCTCTGGGTAGTGTGGATCAGCTATGGTCAGGAATGGCTGAAGGGAAACCAGTTGGGAGGCTAGCAAGAAGTGAGAGCCTGAACTAAGGAAGTCCAAATGGGGCTGGATTAGAGCAGATGGATGCTGAAGCAGGAAATCTGGCAAGAGATTGGGTGTTAAGAATGAGGCATAGGGCCTCGGGAATGTTAACCCCCTTCTCCAGGACGGGGTCTTCAGAAATGTGAGCAGAGTCAGAGCGAAGCGAGAGTCCTGCTTTGGTCTCAGAGAACTTAAGGTGGAGTTCAGTATAAAGTCCTTGGCTGGACATGCAGATCTGGGGTCACGGGCCTGAGGGTGTAGCTTAGCCGGAAGTGGGGAATGTGCAGAGGGAGGAGAGAAGGCAGCATTGGATAGCCACAGAAAGCTATGGGAAATCCCAGCCAATGTGCGTGCATCTACCGGAGAAAAGAGGACCTGTGAAGAAGACTGGAAAGAATCTTACACAGTCGTAGGAAGAGATCCAGGAAAGAGCAGTGTCACACAGCACAAAGGAGCAAAGCATGTCAGGATTACGGGAAAGGTCGATGATGTCAAATACTGTTGACAAGTCCAGTAAGGAAAAGACCGAAAGACTGAAATGTGACTACAGATGGTCCCCGGTGACTTCACAGAAGGCATTTCTTTTTTTTTTCTTTTTTTCTTTTTTTGAGACAGAGTCTCACTGTGTCACCCAGGCTGGAGTGCAATGGTGTGATCTCAGCTCACTGCAACCTCTGCCTCCAGGGTTCAAGTGATTCTCCCCTCTCAGCCTCCTGAGTAGCTGGGATTATAGGCACCTGCCATCATGCCTAGCTAATTTTTGTAGAGACAGGGTTTCACTATGTTGGCCAGGCTGGTCTTGAACTCCTGACCTCAGGTGATCCTGCCTTGGCCTCCCAAAGTGCTGGGATTACAAGCATGAGCCACCGTGCCCAACCCACAGAGGGTATTTCTGTGATGACAGTGCATGCCAGACTACAATGGGTTGTGGAGTCAATGTGACATGAAGGGAGAAAACCCAGGGGACACTTGTGAGAAGCTTGACTAAAGGAGAAGACACAAGGTGTAATAGAGACTTCAGGTGGAAGGTTTAATTTTGTTTTTTAGTATGGGAAATACTTGAATGAGTATATATGCTAAGGAGAGGTGGAGCTTAAAGATTCAGAAAAAACTCAAGGCAAAAGAGAGGATAGTGGAGCAAGGTCCCGGAGAACACAGGAAGAAATGGGATCTCAGTGACGTGCCCCTCTTCCTGAAACACTCTTAGCTCCCATCAGCAGAAACAGACTCTGAGACTCTGAGGTTTTCATGCAATAGAATTACTGGGGAGGGATCTTAGGAACCAGCCTGGAGAGGGAGCAGAGGAGGCAGAACTGGGCCTCGTGGAAAAGGGGGTTGCTCAGGCATGGAGGTTTGTAGAGCATCCCAGGCAATGGAGGAAATTCTTTACTGATGGACTCCTTTTTCTTTTCAAAATGAGAAATTGTTGAGAAAGAGTGTTTGGGATCTCCAGAAGAGTGGAAATGGACTGGAATGACCTTGGATGACAGTAGGAATCACAAGCGGGGATTAGTGTGTACCCTGGAGGGTGTAACAAAGATCAGATGCCATAAACCTGTGGTGTCACCGTCTTCTGGGCTGAGTGATTTTACCGCAGTTGGGCTCTGCATCCCAGAAGAGGAGGCTGAGAGTGAGGTTAACCTAAGGCGTAATTCTGGGCTTGTGGCCTACTCACTGCTCCTGTTGGGCACCTGTCTCCAGCTGGGACTAGGGGAAGAGGCTCCAGTTTGTGCCTCTACTTGAAGCTTCCTTTTCTCTCTCAGGGTTGCTATTTATTATTTCTTGGCCAGTGCACTGATCCAAAAGTTGAAAAAAAGCAGAGTACACATCAAACCATTCCCAGAATCAAACTTCAGGATGATTTAGAGATCAGTGAGTCAGATACATGTGGATTAAATTTTCCTCTAACTACATACTTGTTTAGAAAATCCTAGACTGGGACTTGGAAGTGATGGGTCCTATTTGGGACACCCAAGTTGCTATAAAAGGGTAAAACGTGTGTTCAGTTCCAGTCCCTGGATCATCAGGCAGGGTCTGAAAACCACTGTTTGAGACAGCATACATTCCCAGGACTGCAGACCACTGGACCAAACTTCTAGGAAACAAGACTTGTGCACCCTGGTAAGAACCCAAACCAAACCTTTAATGGGGCCAGCCTGGGGTGAAACTGGCCCTGCTTGGCTGGCTTCTGCTACAACCTTTCTAAGTGAGGGCAGCCTTGAGGCCACAAAACAAAGGCCAAAATGGCCTCAAGGACAGTAAACTCAAGGTAAGTTTGGATAACTTCTTTAGGCCAAAAAAGGAGGAACCCCATGTTAGAGGGCAGGTACTTTCCTGGAATAAATGAGTTGGAAAGTATGAAAATATGGAGAAGAAAAGAGCAACATTTTATCAGGGACCAAAAAAAAAAAAAAAAAAAGAGTCAAAAGACCCAAGTCACTCTGGTTCTGTGATTTTAAAAAAGTCACTTCCCCTTGAGGTTTTGGCAGCCTCTGCTGAAAATGTAAAGGTTTGGATTTGATGATTACTCATCTTTTATCTTCTGATCATACTTATCTAGTTTTATGTCCTTTATGCTCAATTTAAACTCTTCCATGCTCTGCCTCTCCCATGTCCGTTTTTCTTCTTCCCAAGGGGCATGAAAGTATTTGGTAAGCTAAAAGATGTTGGCCTTCTCTTTCTGGTTCTTGCTCAAACCCTAGTTGATTCTCCAAGCTGTCAGTAAACCATCCAACGATTCATTCATTCATTCATTAACGCCAATTTCCCTCCGCCACTCTAACCGGAGCTGAGCAATTAGACACACGGTAACCTTGTGCGCAAGAAGATAAGAAGTCTACCAGGGACTCCAGGGGCCAAAAAATTGGGCAAAAATTAGGCAAGGGGTGGGCCCACTTGGACCCCACACTTCTTCCTAATCAGTCAGCAAAGGAAGAGGTCTCTTTTTCCAGCCCTCTCTTCCCCTGCTCATCCCTTGGTGAAAGGAAAGAATGACCCACATTGTGACTCCATGGTGAGAATGGAGAGGGGAGAGAAATACACAAGGGTGATGAGGCTTTGTGTCAGGTGGCAGTAGCTGGCAGCTCTCCCTGCCTTGATCTCGGGGCCACATTCTCTCAAAGGAATGACGGTGGGAGGGGAGCCAGGAAGAGATCCTTGAAATGGAACGCTGGAGTGCTCAGGATGGACCGGGCTCCACAACAGCTGTCCTGCAGATGGGAAAGAGCATTTGAATCTTGAGTTTATATTTCTAGAAAAACTCCCCCTCCCACTCTTTGCTGTATTATGGGGTTTTTGTGAGGTTTAGAAAAATAAACAGAATCTAACCATAACTGTCTGAAAGTGCTAAATTACCAAGAAAGACATAACAGATTAGCAGTGCAAACTGAGCCTGGGTGGGAGACGGCCAGCACACAGGGGATCCGAGAATGACCCATAGGATGGTGGTTTCTCTGCTCTCCTTCCTGCTCCAGAATGAGCTGCCTCCACACACTGCAGCCTCTCTGGTGGCTCTGAAGGCTGAGTTGCATTGTCCAGAGAGCCTGAGGTTTAGAAATGGGGGACCATGTCCACTTTCAAACCAGCAACACCCTCACACTTGAAAAGTTCTGGCTCATGCCATCAAGTCGATGTCTGGCTTGTAGGTAGGACTGCTCCTGTCACCCTGGTTGGGGGTGAAGCTCTTTTCTGTTTCTAGAAACAACCTTCTCAGATGAACCTGGAGGGTATTACGTTAAATGTAATAAGCCAGGGATAGAAAGATAAAGACTGAATGGTCTCACTTATAGGTGGAGTGTAAGAAAGTCCTAACTCATAGAAACAGAGTAAAATGGTGGATCCCAGAGGCTGCCGGGCTGGGAAATTGAGGAGATATTGATCAAAGAACACAAAACTTCAGTTAGACAGGAGGAATATATTCAGGAGACCTATTGTACATCAGGGCAACTACAGTTCATAACAATATAGCTTATATTTTAAAATTGCTCAGAGAGTAGATTTTATGTGTTCTTACCACCATTAAATAAGGATGTGAAATAATACATATGTTCAAGAGTTTGAATTAGCCATGCTGCCTGTCATATATATCAAAACATCAAGCTACATGTCATAAATAGGCATAATTTTTACTTGTCAATTTTTTTTAAAAATAAGCTTTTTAAAAAAGAAACAAAACAAAAAACCTTCTTTATCTTTTCCCCAGGAATGTGGGAGGGTGTTTAGGGAGGTTAATGATTCAAAACTCCCAGAATGTTGAAATTGAAAGGATCTTAGAGTATGGCCCCCATCCTTCCTTTACAAATAAGTGAACTGAGGCTCACAGGGAGGAAGCAAATGCCCAAGATCCCCCAGCTGGTGAATGGCAGAGCTGGGACTAGAACCCGGGTCTCCTGAATCTCCGCAGATGCACATTCTGTAGCAGCTACTTCCAGGCCTTCCATCCAACTCCCCAATTCCCCTTGCCTCGTTATTTTTCATTGGGCTGTGCCCAGTGAATTTATATCCTTTAGGCCAGTCTGTAACTATAACTTCTATGATTTTGAAGTTCTCATATCTGAACTTTAAGGTCTTCTCAGTTCAGGTCAGTAGCTAACCTTTTTTTGAGCCCATACTATTTGTCAGGCACCAGGAACTCAAAAGTAAAGACGGCACAGTGCCTGTTTTTAACGACTGATTTTAAAGACTGATGGCTGGGAGCAGTGGCTCATGCCTGTAATGCCAGTATTTTGAGAGGCTGAAGTGGGCGGATCACCTGAGTTAGGAGTTCGAGACCAGCCTAGACAACATGGTGAAACCCTGTCTTTACTAATAATACAAAAATTAGCTGGGTGTGGTGGCGCATACCTGTAATCCTAGCTACTTGGGAGGCTGAAGCAGGAGAATCGCTTGAACTCGGGAGGCGGAGGTTGCAGTGAGCTAAGACTGCACTGTTGCACTGTAGCCTGGGTGACAGAGTGAGACTCCTTCACGCCTGTAATCCCAGCACTTTGGGAGGCCAAGGCAGGCGGATCACCTGAGGTCAGGAGATCGAGACCATCCTGGCAAATATGGTGAAACCCTGTATCTATTTAAAAATACTAAAAAGATTAGCTGGGTATGGTGGCACATTCCTGTAATCCCAGCTTTCTGGAGGCTGAGGCAGGAGAATTGTTTGAACCTGGGAGGCGGAGGTTGCAGTGAGCTAAGATCCTGCCACTGCACTCCAGCCTGGGTGACGGCAAGATTCCGTCTCAAAAAAAAAAAAAAAAAAAAAGACTGACATGCAGCCACAGAGGAGCTTCTGGGGTTCTTTCTGACCAACAACCTGAACTCCTACTGCTAACTCAACCTATGGCCCTATTACATCTTCGGAATGTGTGCAGGGTAGGTTAGGAAGTTACCAAGTTAAGCTACAGTCTGTAAGGCACTGTTCTGTGTTCTGGAAGAGAGACCTCCCTACCCTCCAGCAGAGATGTGAAAGACTGGCTTCTAGTTTACTAACAGATGTAGGGCAGATGACTGGGCTTTGAATTATAGCTCCACAATTTATCAGCAATGAGACCACAGGCAAATTACCTCATCTTTCTGGGCCTCAGCTTCCTCTGAAATGAGGATAGCGAAGCCCACCATATAAGGCTGTTATGAAAATCAAACAAAATTTGATTTTCACAGGAGAACTTAAAAATACTACTTGCTTTCCTTTCTCTTTAGTTCTGGTCTTATGTGACTGTGTGTTACTCAGAGTGTGATGATCACTGAAGATTTCAATGTGTATTAGTCTGTTCTCATGTTGTTAATAAAGACATACCGGAGACTGGGTAATTTATAAAGGAAAGAGGTTTAATGACTCACAGTTCCACATGGCTGGGGAGCCCTCACAATCATGGAGGAAGGTGAATGACAAAGTCATGTCTTAAGTGGTGGCAGGCAAGAGAGCTTGTGTAGGGGAACTCCCTTTATAAAGCCATCAGATCTCAGGAGACTTATTCGCTATCATGAGAACAGCACAAGAAACACCTTCCCCCATGATTCAATTACCTCCCACAAGGTGGGAATTATGGGAGCTACAATTCAGGAAGAGATTTGGGTGGAGACACAGACAAACCATGTCACAATGCTTTGTGGAGAGAGTGTTTCACTGCTCTCCTCTTCCAATCACAGAAAGGGGGGATGGCTGGCCACCCTCTCCCTTGTAAATGTGACCTCCCACTTCAAGTCTGCCTGCTGTAGACCCTGATCTTGGCTCAGGATGACACCCCTTCCTGCAGGCTCAACTCCCTCCCTTGGCATCCACCATTGCAAAAGGATGAGCTGCCCTAATCTGAGCCACACTCAGATTTTCTTTCTTTTGAAGAAAGAAGAGTGAAGGGAAGTCATGGGGGAGACACACTACTCCTTGATGCATCATGAAAGACACACAAATTGAATGTCAGAAGACAGGCTGGAAACCGAGCCCTTCCTCCACATCTGTGTCATCGTAGCCTTACTGAGCCTCAGTTTCCTGATCTGTGAGAAGGGAACACAAAAGCTGTTTCATTTACTTGCTGTGAAGATTAAATTTGAAAAGATGAATAGTCATAACAAAGAGGAAAGTGTTAATACTACGTGGATGCTACTATACCATTATCGTCTCTTCTCCTGTTCCCCGACACATCTCAAGTGAGAGCAGGCCCAGGCCAAACCTGCAGAAATTCAGTTTCATTTGCTAAGCAGCAGTCGCACTCAGTGCTCTCCAGCTGGTAAGGGCAGGGCCCTCCTCTCGCCACCTGAGCTGTGGGAGGCAGCGGGTAAAAGGCCAGTCCCAGAACGGGAACCGTGGAGCTGTCTCCTTCTCCCTCTATCTCTAGGGGAGTGCTCTTGGCAAGGAGCAATTCTGTTCCAAAGGCAAATGCCCAAGGTGAAATCCATCACAGGGGCCCTGGGCTGGGATAAGATAGAAGAAAGTAAATCAAGTCTCTCGGAGATAAGAAGACAGCCTGGAGTGTTTAAAAAATGCAGCTTGGCCAGCTGCCCACTTTTGTGAAGTTTTAAAGCAGAGGACTACGCTAGGTAGGAAGGAACCCAGATCCCATCCCCCATTAAAAAAAGGGAGGATTCCTGATGTGGGGCTTCTCTCTTCTCTCTCCCTCTTACCACAAGTCCCAGCCCCAAAGGAGCAAAAGGCATTTTTAATGAATCTCTCTCAGCAAGCAGAGATACATGGAGGCTGTCCATTGGCATCAGAGACTAAGGACAAGGGTTCTAGGGTCACGCAGTCTGGGTTCTAATCCTGACCTTACACCATACGTGTAGTCTTAAACAAGCTAATTTATCTCTATGAACCGCAGTTTCTAACAGGGATAATATTATGCTACCTTATAGAACTGTTTTGAAGATTAAATACGGGATAATTATTATAGAGCATTTACTACAGTGGCACGCAGAAAGTGTGTAAGCAATAGTGTTATGGCTATTTATAAGATCTGTAAGAGACTGGGGAAGCCAATGCCTCTCTAACTTCCTTCTCAACCCATTTGTATAGTCATTTATTTAAAATTCTCTGAAAGGTATTCCCCAAAACAAATCTGGTAGCATCAGTCTCATGTATTGAACATTATTGAACAGTGGACTTTTTTCTTGCCATTATGTCCCATTTGTAACCTATGACCATACCTGTCCTACCCACCACCTCTCCAAAAATTTCTATGTTTAAGTGCATGCCTGACTGGCTGAGCCTAGAACATTTACAAAGAGGCATTTGACCACACTCAGGTCATGAAGGGAAGAAAATCGGTAACAGCCACCTGGAGTCCCAAAAGAGAGATGTGGGGAGGCAAGGGAATAATGACTTAGACAGGAGGTCCCTCGGTCAGAGGGGAGGACTCCGCATCTGAAAGAAGACCTTCGTATCCCCCAAAGTCCCCCTTACCTTATCTTCATCTTTCCCTTTTTTCGTTATCAATAAGTCACACAGTTTTACGTGTGCCTGGGCTTGGCATGTGATGGGAGGATTTTATATCTTGGTCTCCAATCTAAAGCTATCAACAGGATGGATGTAGTGGCTCACGCCTGTAATCCCAGCACTTTGGGAAGCCAAGGTAGGTGGATCACCTGAGGTCAGGAGTTCGAGATCAGCCTGGCCAACATGGCCAAACCCAGTCGCTACTAAAAATACAAAAATTAGTCAGGCATGGTGGTGTGCACCTATAATTCCAGCTACTCAGGAGGCTGGGGCAGGAGAATCACTTGAACCCAGGAGGTAGAGGTTGCAGTGAGCAGAGATTGTGCCACTGCACTCCAGCTTGGGACAGAGTGAGACTCTGTCCCAAAAACAAAACAGAATAAAACAAAAAATAAATAAAAATAAAGCTACCAACAGTCTAATCAGAGAGGGAACCAAGAAACCTGGGGTATCTCAGGGAGTCTGGGAACCTGGCCATCTTACCATGGAACTCACGGTAGAGGTAAGATGGGTTCATGGCAGGGAAAGAGAAGCAAACACTGAAGTTCCCTGGAAGGGAGGAGGCAAAAGCCTCTGGCCACAGCAGGAGGCTTTACAGCTTCCTGAGCAAGGAAATTGCATGATGAACATGTGAACATGGTATATGGGGTGGGCGGGCCAGACCAGGAGCCCATATTGAGCGTGAAGGAGCTTGGGACCCAGGTTTGACCTTGTCTCAGCCTCACAGCAGCTGCGCGAGTGGCACTGGGTAAGCTGTTTGACCTCTCTCTTGGTTTCTCATTTGGAATAATAAAGCCTGACTTCTAGGTTTGTCATGAAGCTGTGAGGTGATATATGGAAGGTCGCTTTGTGCAAATGCAGGGTTCTAGTGACTGGAGTGGTATGCTGGGGAGATGGGCACTGCAGGAAGGGAGGCCACCTGGGGACGAGTGAGACTGCATGGCCAGGCAGGCTGGTGGGGACAAAGGTAGCTAGAGTAGGGGAAGCCTTTGACCTTCTTCCACTGTGCGGCTCTCCTCCAGCTGCCCACGGGTTCTAGGGGCTGCATAAAGAGTCTCATAGACTTAAACCCTCTCTTGGCCTAAAACCCACAGTAAGAGGCAGACAGCCAAGAAGATCCGGGAGTGACAGAACATGAGTGGATATACAAATAGACAAGATTAACAATTCCCACTGTATACACAAGAGGCTTTGCTAACACCCGGCCAATTAGAAAACTAATCTAAACAGCCACTGGCTTCCAGTCTCCTAGGAGCTCTCCAGCAGCTGTTCGCAACTCCCAGCAAGTGCCCTGAGGCTTCTCCTTGGGTCTCTGGTCCCCACTTGAGCCTCAAGGGCTCCTCAAGAGCAAAGGATTGTGTCACTTCCCTTCCCTTTCCCTGAATTCCCTCTCGGGTCCTGCCGCTGTTGTTACGGGGGCTCCCTCCATGTCACCGCCTCTGAGAAGCCTTCCCTGGCACCCCCATTACAGCACTTCCAGGTTAGTGCCATTCGTCGGGGGGCACGTACACCAAGAGGGTAAGAGCAAAGCCTTTGAAGTCTGGCAAACTGGAGTTTAAAACTCCTAGATCTCTCACTGTTGTGCTCTTTCTGATACCCTGTTCCCTCACCTAAAAAGAGGAGAATAATGATACCTACTTAGGAATTAAAAGCAGGCTGGATGCGGTGGCTCACACCTGTAATCCCAGGACTTTTGGAGGCCGAGGCAGGCAAATTGCTTGAGATCAGGCATTCAAGACCAGCCTGACCAACATGGTGGAATGCCACCTCTACTGAAAATACAAAAAATTAGCCAGGCATGGTGGCGGGTGCCTGTAATCCCAGCTACTCAGGAGGCTGAGGCAGGAGAATCACTTGAACCACTGCACACCAGCCTAGGCAACAGAGCGAGACTCCATCATAAAAAAAGGAAAAGAAATTCAAAGCAAATATGTATATACAGGTGTATACATGGGGGTGTGTGTGTGTGTGTATAGATAAGAAAAAATATATATAAAAAACAAGCTAGTACAGGTCCCTGCACACTGTAAGTATTCCGTGCATTGCTTTTGCCATCATTATTACTATTGTACTGCTACTACTATTATAATTGTCATTATTGCTGTCTCTGAGTTACCTGAGGGCCAAAAACAACTTTGACTTGGGGCCACGTAGTGTCTAACATGGTCCCTGATGGTCTCTGTCTCCCGGTCTCCACGCCCTTGTGTAAACCCCTCCCCTGCAGCGTGGGTGGAACCTGGGACTTGCTCCTAATCCACAGAATATGGCAAAGGCAATGGGATGTCACTTCCTTCTTCAGGTCACAAAAGATTGTGACTTCCATCCTGTTGGCCGACCCTCTCTCCGGCCTTCTCAGCTTGCAAATTCCATGAAACAAGCTGCCATGCTGGCAAGGACCACATGGCAAGGAATTGAGAGCATCCTCTGGCCAGCAGCAAGCTAGGAACCGAGGTCCGCAGTCCAACAACCCTCGAGGGACTGAATTCTGCCAACAGCCTTGTGAACTTGGATGTGGATCCTTCCCCAAGTGAGCCTTCAGAGGAGATGCCAACCCTGGTCAAATCTTTGGTTACAGCCTGTGAGCGATTCCAAAGCAAAGGAGCTGGCTAAGTTTTGTGCCCTGACTCTGGCCCACGGAAACTGAGATAATAAAAGAGTATTGTTTTGAACCATGATGTATTATGCATTTGTGACACAGAAATAGATAGCCAACACGTCCTCTCTGTCTTCCTAGCTCAGCAGTTGGCATATGGAGTGGAAGTCAAGTGCCAGTTGAGTGTATGAATGAATGAATGACGATGGTTTCAGGTAAATTCATCAGGACCTAGGAAAGGCCTAGACAGGGTAGATCCAAAGAGAGAGCTCTTTCCCAGCACGCACTGCCTGTATCTTGTGTCCTCTCTCCCACTCTTATAACTCTAGGTCCCTCCTCCCTTCTTTAGTCCTCAGGACCTTGCTCTCCTCCTGGTTCCTGCATTTAGTCATTCTCTCTGAATTTTTATTTTCCTCCTTAAAAAAAAAAAAAAATCCAGGTCTCTCTAAAATATCTGACCCTGGTGAATTGGAATAATTTTTGATGGAAAGCAGTCTTGTCCAAAAAGGCTCTTACCCACCCTGCTCAGGAATGTGGTTGCTACAGATATTAAAACAGACCTGCAGGCATCTGCAGTGAGAGGGGAGCTCGTGCCAGCAATGACCTCAGCCTGCACAGCAGGCTCTTACCTAGGAAAAGCTGCTGTGTGGAGCTGGATCACAATAGAACCCTTCCTTCTCCAAACTCTTCCCCTTCCAGTTATCCCAGGCTGCAACCCCTAGTTTAATGCCTGAGACACACCTTTCCACCCAAGCCTGGGACCAAAAGTCATGGGCGGTGCCACCAGGCTTGCAAGAGAGGATGCTGTGGGTTTCACTGTCCCTTCACATTTAAGTGGCTTTGGCCGAAGAATGTGGGCCTCACTCTGCCAGCCCCCTTTCCTCTCCTCTTCTCCTGACTCCTTGCCTCCCACTCTTGACAGCTCCAAGGGATCCTGCTCAGGCTGAGAGGTATCAGGCTTCTTTTCTTCTGCAAGAGGCACCTTCCCAGGGAAGGCCAGGGCAGAAGTCTTAGGGCAGAAACCGGAGCCTGGGACCCCGCATGGTAAGGCTCCGCACTGTGTGGCTGAGCTTGTATTTGGGCTTGGATCTTGCTCTGCTTAATTCAGCTCCCATTGTTGAATCTGAACCTGGCTAAGGCTAAGTAGAAACTTTTGTCAATTTTTGGACTTCCCTCTTCCACTGGGAAACTCAGAGAACTCGGAATATCCCAGGTATAATCTACTCCAGCCTCCAAACTCAGCAACCTATCCCTGATAACCACAGTAATTACCACAACAGCTAACGTTTGCCTAACATATTCTTGTATGAAAAGTACTTTTACACATGCTATTTTTCATAAGAATTCTACAATATTTTTAGCCCCATTTAACAAAGGAATAAACTGTGGCACAGAGATAGTAAGTGGAATTTTCCCAGTTATGTAGTGAGCAAGCAGTAGAAGGGGAACCTACACCAGGGCCTGTTGGCACATACACAGTCCAGTCTTCTTTCCAAGACTGCCCACTCTCCCAAATCTGTAAGGCTCATTTTCCTCTAACTTTGCATTTCATTTGTGTGTTGATCACTTTGTGCTCACATTATATTGTCCAATTCCTGCTCCTTCCGCCATTCCCCCACGCCAGCCTCTGGAGCGCTGGGCCAAGTAGCTTTATGCAGATCAGCAACGGATTGACCACTGGCCTTCAAGTCTGGAGATCCAGGTTTTAAGTTCTGGCTCTGCCACTGATGAGGGGTGTGACTTTGAGGCGGTTACCTCAGTTTTCCAAGATGAAGGTGATAAATTCCGTGATCACTGGAGTCACTTTTAGCCCTAGAACTATGATCCTTTGATATAATATTCCTGGTTGGGCTCCCTCTTGGGGAGGAACAATTTTCCAAGTCAATGGGAAATTCACTCTTGCACTATGAATGCCATCCGGAGCTTGGGCGCTGAGAAGGGTGAGAATTTAGCTAACTGCTCCAGAGATGATAGGAGGTCCCTGTCCCCACCTCTGCCTGAATAGGTCCCTTCATTCCTGGCTTCTTTAATCTGTCCTTCTGCAACATGCTGTGTTGCAACCTCTTTTGGGTAGGATTATAAGCTCCCAAAGGCCTCGGGTCTTGATCATCTTTGACCAGTGATTATTGCCCAACCCAGTACCAGACAGGCTGGCACTTCCCTGATCTCCTCAGGATGTCTGTGAGCCCAGGCTGAAGGTTATTCACAATCCCCAGTGCTAGGGAGACCCGGGGCCCCCTCCCCGCAGCTGCTCCCGGCTGTCTGGCTGAACAATGCTGATCCTGTCAGGTCTCTCGGCTGAGCCTTCCTGCCGTGGGTATTCGGGTTGCAGTATTAACTGGAGGCATCTCAGCTGCTTCCTGTTCCTTGAGTCTCAACACAGATTCCTGGGCAAAGACAATCAGCCTGGCTCTGCATCTGACCAGAGCCCCCAGCAGTTGGGGTTGGGGCAGGAAAGATGAAAGAGCTTTGCCATCATCTCAGAGCAAGGAGTCAAACCTCCTCGGCCGGAAGGGACCCCAGGCACCAAGTGCCCCTTGGACACTGCTCCCAGACACGTCAGCCAGGCACAGGGATGGGATTGTAGCTCAGCTCTCAATCTTTGGGAAGGTAACTCTGCAGCCTCCTAGGTCACTTCTGTGGGGACAAAAATCTGTTAACAACTCTGCTCTCTGCAGCCAAACCACTTGTACAAACTACTGGTATTATTTGTACCAGTGTGAACTCCCCACCTCAGCAAGGCGCAGCCTCCTGCCTGTCTCCCCTGCTCACTGTCCTCTCCATTATGAAGCAAGTGCTGTCCCCACACTCATATGTCCTTCCTCATTTCCACCGCCACTCCAGTCTTTTGTTGGCATCACACCTCTGCTATGAGACTTATCGTCTCCCTAAAACTGCTGTGACTGATGCCATGAGACTCTAGCTAGGCTATGCATTCTCATTTGCTTTTCTTCCAGGTTTCTTTTCTCTTTTGAGACAGAGTCTCGATTTGTCATCCAGGCTGGAGAGCAATGATGTGATCTATGCTCAATGCAACCTCTACCTCCTAGGATCAAGCGATTCTCATGCCTCAGCCTCCCAAATTGAGTAGCTGGGACTACAGGTGTGTGCCACCATGACCTGCTATTTTTAGGAGAGACAAGGTTTCGCTGTGTTGACCAGGCTGGTCTCAAACTCCTGGCCTCAAGTGATCCACCTGCCTCGGCCTCCCAAAGTGCTGGGATTACAGGCATGAGCCACCGTGCCTGGCCTTTTCCCAGATTTCTAAATACTAAGTGCTTACCTGACAATTTTTGCCTGTGTAGTGACCTTTGTATATTCTTTCTCTCTCTCTCTTTTTTTTTTTTTGGCTTATGTTAGTGTCTCTCTAACCTACTCCATAAACTGGGAGCTCCTCCGCTGTACAGACCAAGTCTTCTCCCTCCCTCCGAACTGTTGCTGATGCTTGCTTTCTGATTATCGACCATCAGGAAGTCCCACTTGAGAACTAACCCTCTGGCTACAGTTGAATCCCATTTCCTGTTTGGTTGGAGCCTGGGAATGTGTTAAGGCTTTGACCAACTGCCACCATATTAGCGGGTCCCCAAGGCCAATTTGGGGATATAAAGAAGAATATGACTCCTATTACTTACATAGTGCTTCAGAAATGCCCCAGAGTAGAAACAATGGTCCTTGCTGCGCACGGATCCACTATAACCCTCTTCTTTTGCACCCCGCATCCTGGCCTGCCAGACGGCAGTTCTAGTAAGACACAGTATATAATGAGGAATGTCACTCAAGGCCAGTCACACCAGATACTTGTGGAAGGGCAGCGGCCAGGCAGGGGACACAGAGGCTCAGCAGAGGCAGATACCAGCCAGGTGGCCAGCTCCGTCCTCTGCTGTCTTCATAAACAGGCTAGTTTCTTGAAGGTTTTTTTCTTAAGTTCCAATGAAAAACAAGTTGGAGCCATGATTGGAGGCGGGGTGAGGGCTGCAGAGCAGAGTTTATGGGCACTGGCGTTTTCTTAACAGCTCCCTCCTCACACATTCCTCTGCATTTTCCCCTTTTATTAACGTGGCATCTTTCCCAGGACACTTTACGGGACTGTGTGTTTTCACTTACGCCCTGATTGCGGTTGATCGCGTCTCTCCCTATGAAGAGCCCTCAGATCTCGCGCAAGGCCTCCCCTGCATCCCATGCAAGGCTGCAGGTCATTCTTTCACTCCGGGGCTCCTGGGCTTATCTCGGAACCGGTCCCCAAGGGCTCCACTGTGTTTTCCACCACACAAGGCACTCTTCTGCCTTAAGGTCGCACCTCTTTTGGACCCCAAATAAGATAAGACACACCAGGTAGCTTCCTCACTCGACTCTGAAGTGACTCCTGGCACTTGTCCCCAAATTAAATCTGTTCCCAAGGATCAAGAGGAAGATTTGCCACACTGAAGATTTTCAAAGGAATGTGCCACGAGCCCTGAAGGCCATTGCCCAAGAGGAGCTCTGAAAATGTTGTGAGCAATAGCAGCCCTGATAGAACACAGCTTTCCGAGGGCCCGCTGTCAAAGGCATGGCATGCCTCACGGAGAGTCAAGCTTTGGCGTGTTTATTAAAAAGGACGCTTGTTGCTTTCGGGAACGCTGCGCTCTTAGTTCTTCTTTTCTCTTTAGCTCAGTTCCAAGAGGGGCTGGGACTGAGGTTTGGAGCTTACTTGCTCTCCTTTAGCCCCGTTTTAGAAATGTTTCCACCTATCTGTCTCCTGTTATCTGGGAGATTGCTCTGTTTCACTCAGACATGAAGCGGCAGGCTTGGTGGTAGTCCTGTGATCTTTGAAAACCTCCCCTCTGGGAATTGCAGTTTTTTCTTCTGTAAAATGAAGAAAGTAATACACATTCTGCAAGGCTGAGAATGAAATGGAGCGATGTCTGTAAGAGGCCCGGCATGCTAAAGGCCTTCAGTAAATGGTAGGGATTTTTGTTATTAATACTATTACCAATATTAAGCAATTAGCCAACACATACTGATCTCCTTGAGAATCTGCTTTTGTTCCCTGGTCCCTCCCCTCGTTCATCCAGGCCTTCTCCCACTGCAATCCTTTCTTTCTGGAATGTCTGTGGACAACACATCAAACTCCCCACTCCTGGCTCCAGGGCAAGAATCTCGGAGTCCTTTGGGAAGTGCAGTGCTAGGATCGTTTTCCTGTTGTCAGCAGGCTCTGGAAGAGGCATTAGCCCCACAAGGCTTGATGTGGGAAGTTTTTACAGGTACCGCTCATCTGGTGGGCAGATGTAGCTTGCAGCAAGATAGAGCTCTGTCTTCCAGATGGGGGGGGTGGGGTGCCTGGGAGTCTTGAGGTCGAACTGGTTCCTCCCTGCTTGGAGCCAGTGTGGGCACACACATGGGCCTGTCACTTCCTTCAACAGCCCTGGGATCCTTGAGCCAAGTTAGATGGAGTGCCTTTAGCCCCTGAAACTCACATCCTGGCAACAGCTGACCATGCCTCTATCATCTCCATTCCCCGCAGCCCTGACCTCTGCCATCCCCCAACACACAGACACACACACAGTGTTATTTCCAGGGAAGAGCAGGATACTCCTGGTCAATAGCCCTGGACACATTGGAGGTTTCCCCACAAGGTAAGAGTTTCATTCATTCCGACAATTCTCAAGGTGGCGAAACAGGATGCAGAGGGCTCCTCAAGGTAGGCTTACTCCACAGCATTTGAGCATCTTCCTAAAGGAAGATGATGGGAGGTAGTAGCCACCAGTGGCTAAGTTCTCCCCTAGACGTCCCTTTGGATATCAGCAATCCCTAATTCTCTGCTCCAAAGCCCTAACTCTGCCTTGATAGAGTGGGGGTGTGCCTGACCCATTAGTAGCCATTGTCCAACCTTTTATTGTTCGGGCTTTTTGCGGGGACCTTTATGCGAAGATGCTCCCAACCTCATCACATCTGGTCAAAGTGCTTTTAGTCACAAGGGGCAGAACTCGGTTCACAGGAACACCTATAAAAAGTGGATATAAAGACAGTTATCAGGGATACGAGACTTCAATTAATCAACGTACCCGGCCTCGCCGTTCTTGCTCCTCCTGGCCTGCGGCCTCTTGGCCCAGCCTTTCTCTTACGTGACTTCGGTTTGCCTACAGTTTCTCTCATAACAGGGCCCTCACAAGTCCTCACTGATCATGACATTTTAGTTGAGCTCTCTACGACCAAATGGCTACAGAGCCTGATTTTAAGTTTCAGACTCTTAAGAGAGAAAAACTGGGTGGCTGTCTCTTGCCAACACATTGGCTGGCCTTGGATACTTAGTGGACATAGAAACAGCTATGAAGGATATGAGACTTTAATTAAACAAAGTGCCCAGCCTGGTCCGTTTCGCGCCTCCTGGGCCGCAGTCTCTTGGCCCAGCCTTTCTTTTTCGTGACTTAGGTTTGCCTACAGTTTCATAACATGGCCCTCACAAGTCCTCACTGATTATGACATTTTAGTTGAGCTCCCTATGACTAAATGGCTACAGAGTCTGCTTTTTAATTTCAAAGTCTTAAGAGAGAAAAACTGGATAGCTCTTTTCTTGCCAACACATTGGCTGGCCTTATTCCTGGTTGAGTTAGCCGTGGCTGAGGAGTGGAGCACGTGGTATGAAACAGATAATGTAGCAGGGGCTGCAAGTGGGAAACAAGTTCTCTGAGAAGCAGCCCAAGCTGGCAGTCCACCCAAGGTATGCCTAATGTGCGCTCTGTCTGGTTCTGGGGTTCATCCGAGGAACAGGTAACAGCCATCCTCAGTGACTCCTCTGTCTCAGTGGAGGCTAGGCTCGGATCTCAAAGGCCAGGGAAGCAGCAGCTCCACCGATGCAGCTGCCACCTCCTCAGCATGCTGGGGACATGGTGACATTTCTCCTAAGAGCACTTACGGGGACAGTGCCCTGTGAAAACAGCGCTGGACTGGGAGTCAGGAGTTATGACTTCTGATCCAGATCAGCTGTCAACCCCTTTGACCTCGAGGAGTTGACCTTCTTCTTCCTCTAGGTCTTAGATTCTCCAGAAGTTAAAAAATAAAATTTAAAACTACCAATAATAGTAATAAACAGTGTTGTGAAATCATCTCCAGGGTTCTTTTCAATCCCTAAGATTTCCCTAAGCCTCCCTACCTCTGCTTGACAACTTCCCAGAAATGCTTCCAAACGGAGCTCTTTCACCCATGACTTGGTGGAGCCTCTGCCAGCTGCCTCTCCCCAACAACACATCCCGTCCCTGAGATGAGTCCTTCTCAGGGGCTTTCCAGCCTAAACCTGCAGCCTTTCAAGAATGTCCAGGCAGGGCCTTCCCAGGCAACTGATTTCTGAGCTTGTTAGAGGCAGAGGATGGAGTCTGAGCATTTGCTGTCTGGCCACACCAAAGCGGGAAGTCTGGGCCTGAAGATGCATCCACGGGAGGCGGGGGGAGGGACTTCCAGGTTGGTGATCAGGGCCTGGGAGGCCAAGAGAAGCTCCATAAGAAGGGTCAGCAAAAGCCCCAGAGAAACGGGGACAATGAGTGGAACAGAGCTGGAGAGGAAGAGCGGAAAACACTGGGTTCCCAGGGTAGGGGGGGCAGGGGTGAGGGAAATAGTTTGTGTCTTTTGGCAAGAAATGAATAACATTCAAAGAATATGCAAAATGCCATTCTAATCGGCACCTGTTCCCTTTGGAGCCAGTCACTTGGCCCACAGCATCTGAGGGTGAGTCTGGTTTGGGTCTCCCCAGGGGAGGAAATACACACATTGAGATCCACTTGAGTGATGATAGAGGCATTGATCCTAAGTGGGGTGAAGGAAAGAAAGGTGCCCTCAGCCTCCATCGCTCCTTCCCAGTCCCAAATGCTCTCTCACAACCCCCCCACCCCAGCTCAACCCCAGGCAGATGGCCGCAAATTTTGCAGGGGCCTCTGAGCATTCCCTTGGCTAATAGCCACATTCCAGAACAGCATATGTTTCATCTCAAACACACAAGGTTTGCACTTCCAAGTGGAGCCAAAGAGAGAAAACCTTGGCCCAGGCTGCAAATTTCTTAGGAGAGGTGGGGGTCAGGGGCAGCCCCCAGGGAGGGTGTAGCTGTTATGTTGAAGAACATTTGAGTTCGAGTTTGTGCAAAGCTACCTCCCAAATCTGTGACACCCGCATTCCTAACTCATAAATCCTCAAAGTACCCACCTGGGGAAGGAGCGAGCAGCGCCGCTTCCTCTTGCTATCGCCCAAATGGCACTCATGCCACCTGCGCGTTCCTCCAACCCCGTACCAGCTCTGCACCTTTGCCTGACTTCATGGCCCCTTCTGAATCAATAATTCACAGCCCATGGCTGGGTGGAGTCTGGGGCGGGAGAGGAAAGAGGGTGACTCCTGATCTCACTCTGTACGTTAAAAAATGCCTGGGCCTCATCTGTGCTGGCTCCCATCTCCGCACTCAGATTTATTTGGCTGCTGAAAGACACCAAGTCTGGAGGAGGATTTAGGAAGGACAGGGCTGAGCTGGGTGGAAAAGAGGAGTAAGGCAGGGGAGAAACACGAAGGCATGAGCTGGAGGGGGCGGCGGGGCAGAGGTGCAGAAAGGGACGCAGAAGGGCCTCAGCTGGGAAGAGGGAGAGGTGCGCTGTCTCCTGGCGGGTGGGGGACTCGGGGGACGGTGGGAGTCCTGGTCCTCTGGGGGTTCTGCTCTGTGGTAAGCTAAGGGATTTCTGACAGCAAAGTAAACTGTGGTGTGCTGAGTTTACCCAGCTCCAATAAGCAGTGCTGGAGTGTTTAATGTTTCCTTCCCGCTGAATTGGTTGACAGGCACTGAACCGCAGCCAGCCCCTTGCTGTCTCTTGGGGAGGTAGTAGGTGGGGAGGTTAGTACAGGGCTGTCAGGAAAGCTGGCATCGCTGACCCCAACCCAGGATATGGAGGCTTGGGTGAACGTTGGGGAGTTCCCCTAACATAGGCCCAAAGTTCCCATCAAGGAGGAAGAGCCTGAAATACAAGTCACCTCCCTATCCCAACCAACCCCGCCCGGCCAGTGCGCACCAGCCCTCCTGCGCTCTACAAAACACAGCCATTTATTTCTCTCATCATGCTCAGCTTTATTAAATGGCTGCCTATGGTGCTGCAGCCTCAAACAGCCGTTCTTATGCGGATGGA